TCCTGCTCCCTGCATCCCTGTCCTGCTCCCTGCATCCCTGTCCTGCTGCCCGGACTGGGATATTTGGAATGACTGGGATACAATCCTCCCTCCCTATCTCACCTTCTTTTGGGATCCCTCTGCCCCTGGCCCCCCACCATTCCTGCCTCCTGCTGATCCAAGCCATGCTCTGCTTCCCACGGGCACGTCCTGGCATTCCCAGGCCCTTGGCTCCATCCGGGAGGGATGGGGACAGGGTGGCCTCAGGCTCGGGTGTCCCGCAGGCGCCGCGGGGGGCCCCACGTTTGCTTCCCGGGCTCCGGCAGCGGATGTTGTCCCGGCTGGATGCTGTCCCCGGGCAGCGGGAAGTGCACCCTGCGTGAGTAGGGGCAGCCGGGGGGGCGGGCGGGGGATCCCCACTCCCATTCCCGCAGCTCCCGTTCCCATTCCCGCAGCTCTCTGCTCCTTCGGCTGCGGCGGCGGCTCCTGCGTCGCTCCCAACCTCTGCCTGTGCCCGGATGGGGAGCAGGGAATCACCTGCCCAGGTACGTCCCAAGGGATGGGGGGGGCTGTGAGTCCGTGGATGCCAGGCTGGACCCCCTTCCCTCTCCATGCCCTGCATCCCAAGGGATGCAGGTGGCACGAGTCCATGGGCACCGTGCCAGACCCACTTCCCTCTCCAGGCCACAAATCCCAAGGGATGGAGGTGGCCATGATCCTGCTAATACTGTGCCAGACTCCCTTCCCTCTCCACACCCCTTATCCCAGGAAACGGAGGTGGCCATGTGCCCCCTTCCCTCTCCACCCCTCGAATCCCAAGGGATGGAGGTGGCCCCATCCTGGCAGGGCCCAGTTGCTCCCTGTCCCCTCCCCTTGCAGCGTTCCAAGCAGTGTCCCCATCCCTGAGGCATCCATGGATCGGGGTGGGAGCTGGGTGCTCCCGGGGTGTCCCCAGTGCCCGGTTGACCCCACATCCACCCCCCAGATCCGCCGGGAACGTGCGGGGAGTACGGCTGTGACCTGTCCTGTAACCACGGCGGGTGCCAGGAGGTCGCCCGCGTGTGTCCCATCGGCTTCTCCATGGCGGAGACTCCCAACGGCGTCCGCTGCACCGGTGAGCGGGAGCGGGAATATCCCGGTGGGAGCGGGCAGCCGGAGGTCCCGCATCCCAAACCCAGGCCAATTCCTGGCATCCCCCCAGACATCGACGAGTGCCAGAGCGGGGCCTGCGAGGGGCCGTGCGTGAACACGGAGGGCGGATTCGTGTGCCAGTGCGGCTCCGGCCGGGAGCTCTCCACGGATCGGCGCAGCTGCCGCGGTGCGCGGGGGGCCGGAGGGGAGGCCGGGAATGCCGAGGGATCCTGACCCTCATCCCGCCCCCCTCCCAGACATGGACGAGTGCCAGGCCATGCCGTGCCAGCACCGCTGCGAGAACAGCGTCGGGAGCTACCGCTGCTCCTGCCGGCCCGGATACCAACTCCACGGGAACCGGCATTCCTGCCTGGGTGAGCGCCGGGATGGGGCCCTTACGTGAATCCCCAGGGGATGCAGGTGGCCATGAACCTGTGGACACCACACCACACCCTCTTCCCTCCCCATGCCATGAATCCCAGGGGATGGAGGTGGCCATGAGCCCCCGAGCACTGTGCCAGACCCTCATCCCTCTCCATGCCCTGAATCCCAAGGGACACCGTTGTCCCTGAGCCCACGATCCCCGTGCTGCCACCTTATCCCTGTCCCTGCCTGGGCCGTGCTGGGGGCACATCCTGGTGCTCCGGGCTCCTCCCTGGGTCACATCCCGGGGCGCAGCACCTCCTGCCACATTCCCTTTTCCCGCAGATGTGGATGAATGCCGGCGGCCAGGAACGCGCCGCTCCTGCCAGCACAACTGCCACAACATTCCCGGGAGCTTCCGCTGCTCCTGCCGCCCCGGGTACCGGCTCAGCACGGACAGGGTGTCCTGCGAAGGTATCCGTGTCCTTCTCCGGGCTGGGAGAGTGGAGCAGGATGCTCCCGCTCCTTGCCTACCCCAAGTGATGTCTCTTCCTTCCCGGATTCCTTCCCAGGGTATCCCAAAGCTATCCTGGCCCCGTCACCCATCCTGCAATCCCTGCAGCACCCGCCCACCCTCGTCCTGCTCCCTCCCGGCTCCCACCTGCTCCCGAGGGGCTCCCCCTCTCCCCACATCCCTGTGGCAGCTCCCGGGACACAATTCCCACCCTCTTCTCCGTCCCTGTCTCCCGGTACCTCCATCCCACCGTCCCCTCGCTGTCGGCACCGCGGGGTTTCCCGGGAGCCCGGCGCTCGCTGGACAGAGCCGGGATGCCGGAGCTGCACCTGCCAGGTGAGAATCCCACCATCCCACGCCTTCCCTCGGCACCATCCCGACCTGGGATGAGCCACGCGTGTCCCGGCAGGAGGGACGAGTCCTGTGTGACGCCGTGAGCTGCTCCATTCCCTGCTCCCACCCCCTTCCCGCTCCAGCCGGGGGGTGCTGCCCCACCTGCACAGGTGAGTCCCGGCCCCCCCGACCCCGCAGTTCCTGGGATATCCCTCCCTGATCCCCCCTGGATCACAGGGTGCCTCCACGAGGGGGTGGCCAGAGCAGAGGGCGATGTCTTCTCCCCATCCGATGGGAATTGCTCCGTCTGCATCTGCTTGGTGAGCTGGATCGGGGTGGGAGAATCCCCCCGGAGCCCTGGGGACCTCCCAGCCTTGGGGACCCTCATCCCACCTTCATCCACAGGCCGGGAACGTCTCCTGCCTTTCCCCGGAATGCCCCGCAGGCTCCTGCCCCAGCCCCTGCCATGCGGGTGAGACCCCCAATCCGGGGCTGTGGGGGGAACCCCCGGGCTGGGACGAGGGTTCGGGAGGATCCACGCCTGGATCTCCAGCCCTCCTGACTCCGCCTGTCCCAGCCAAGTGCAGTTTCCGGGGCCGCACGTACGCGCACGGGGCCCGGTTCAGCCCGGACGGGGACGGATGCACCACCTGCGTCTGCCAGGTGGGGAAACCCCAGCGATGGGAATCCCACGGGATGACGAGCCCCGGGGATGGGACACCCCAGGAATGAGGGTGCCCACGGACCCTGTGGGTATCCCGGCTCTCTCGAGGCTGGGGTTGGATGTGGGGACACCCGGTGACACATTCCCCCGTTCCCAGGGCGGGGAGGTGGAATGTTCCTTCGCTCCCTGTCCCATCCTGGACTGCCCCCAGCACCAGCGGCTCCTGCGCCCCGGGCAGTGCTGCTCCTCCTGCCGGGACCCTCCGGCCCCCGCCGGTCAGTCGGGATAGGGATGCACCCGGGAATGGGGAGGATGGGATGAGGGGGCCGGCTGGAGACAGGGGACAGTGGGATGTGGGGAACAGCTGGGGGGGGGGGGGGGGGGGGGGAATGTGGGAGGCAAGTTGTGGGGGACACTTGGGGACGGGAAAGGTGGGAGGGCTGTGGGGATATTTTGGGGATGGAGAGGGTGGGAAGTGGGGGACAGCTGGGGGACAGTGAGGACAGGATGGAGGGACAGGGAGAGAGGGATGTGGGGGACAGCCCAGGGGCCGAGGGGGTGGGATGTGGGAATACGTGGGGATGGGTGAAGGGTGGGAAACTGGGAATCCCCGGGCCCAGGGAGGGTGGAATGTAGGGGAGGGTGGGTTTTAGGGGCCAGCTGGGCACAGGGAGCCTTCCCAGGTTGCTTCCTGGAGGACAACGGCGTGCAGTTTCCCGTGGGACAGCTCTGGTCTCCGGGCGATCCCTGTGAGTTATGCATCTGCCAGGTGAATGAGAACCTGCTCTGCTTCCCTCCTGCTGCCTGTCCCCGTCCCCGCTCCCCATTCCCGCCCTCGGGATGCCCGCGGACCCCCCGGCGGGCTCGGGAATGCCGAGGTGTCTGTGGAGCTGTCCCCGCCCGCAGGCAGACGGCTCCGTGAGCTGCCGGCGCACGGAATGCCTGGAGACCTGTCCCTATCCCATCCGGATCCCCGGGCAGTGCTGCCCCGACTGCTCCGCAGGTGAGGAGGCGCTGGAATTCCCGGCCCGGGAATTCCGAGCCGCCCGGGGCCCCCACGCGAGCCGCTCTGCCCGCAGGCTGCACCTACATGGGGCGGGTGTTCTCCAACAACGAGACCTTCCCGTCGGAGCTGGATCCGTGTCTCAGCTGCATCTGCCTGGTGAGGGCCGGGCCGGGCACCCCCGCAGCTTTCGGGGCTCCGGCTCCACGGGCTGATCCCGGGATTTTTAACTCCGTTGCAGGAAAAAAACAAAAACAAAACAAACAAACAAACAAAAAAGCTCCGGGGGCGTTGCCGGGGGTTCCTAACGGGGTCTCTCCGGTCTCTCGCAGCTGGGATCGGTGGCCTGCTCACCTCTGGAATGTGCCATCGTGTGCTCCTACCCCTTCCACCCCGAGGGCCGCTGCTGCCCCGTCTGTGACGGTAACGGGGGGGGGTCGGGGGGTCCCCGAACACCCCCCCCCCCCCGAGCCCCTCGGAGCCCCCTGAGCGAGCCCTCCCCACTCCCCCAGACTGCAACTACCGCGGCAGGAAGGTGGAGAACGGGCAGAGCTTCACCCCCGAGGGGCAGCCCTGCACCCGCTGCGCCTGCCAGGTGAGCGGGGAGGGGACACAGCGGGGACCATGGGGGGTCCGGGGGGTCCTCATGCCCATGGGATGCCTTTGGGGTTCACGGGGTGCCCTGGTCTGTAGGGTCCCCGTGCCTGTGGGGGTGCCCATGTCCGTGGGGTCCCTGTGCCCACGGGGTGCCCCTGTTCTTGGGGTCCCTGTACCCATGGGATACCCCTGTCCGTGGGGTCCCTGTGCCCACGGGGTGCCCGTGCCGGTGCCATTGTGCCCCGGGGGGGTTGGCAGGCCCGGCTGACCCACCGTGCCCCCCCTGTGCCAGCTCGGGGAGGTGACCTGCGAGGAGCGGCCGTGCCCCCTCTCCTGCTCCGAGCCCCCCGCGATTCCCGCTCCCTGCTGCCCACCCTGCCCAGGTAATGGGATTCCCAGAACTCCTGGCACTCGGGGGACCCCCACCCCAGGCTGGGGGTCCCGGGGAAGGGGTGGGAACTGACCAAAGTCATCCCTGTGCCAGCCACAGACGTCCGGCTCCCGCTGCAGGGCAGTGACCTGGCCCCATCCCTGGCCCCGTCCTTATCCCTTGCCCCATCCTTATCCCTGGCCCCGTCTCTGGCCCAGTCCTTGTCCCCATTCTCCTCCCTGGCCCCATCCTCGTCCTCATCCCTATTCCCGTCCTCATCCCCATCCCAATCCCTGTCCCCATCCTCATCCCCCTCCTCCTCCCACTCCCCATCCTCATTCCCGTCCTCCCTGTCCCCATTCTCCTCCCATTCCCCAATCCCTAAGGATTCACCTCCTGGCACCTCCCACCCCAATCCCCCCAAATCCCGCCCCCGCCTGGCCCAGCTCCTGCTTCCCAACACATCCGCCGCCCCCAGCCCCTTTCCCGGGATTTGGGATGGCGGGGATCCCCCTCCCACCACCCCGAGCCCCTCTGGACACCCCTCGGTGCCCCCCGACCCCCCCTCCGAGGCCGCAGCCCCCCCAGATCCCACGGGCTGCTCCGGCCCCGAGGCTCAGGGATCCCTCGGGAATGCGGATCCCGCTGCGGTGCCGCCGGACAGCGGGAAAAGCCCCAGGTGCCGAGTGCCGGGAGGAGGAGGAGGATGAGGAAGAGGAGGGGGGTCTGCAGGATCAGGCCCCTGGGGAGGGGGGGCGACTGTCCCCCCCCCGCCAATAAACTCATCCTGGTATTTATTCCCTGTCCCCTCCTGCTTGGGAACACGCGGAGCCCGGGGCTTGTCCTCAGCGGGAATTTTGGGATGAGCGGCCTCTGCGGGATGAGGAGGGAAGTGCTGGAGTTGGAGTTTGGGGACAGGGAGGTCGTGTCCTGCCGGGATCCCCAGGGATCAGGATTCCCAAGGCTGGGAAGGCCCCGGGGATGAGGGTGCTCAGGGAGAAGGATCCCGAGGGCCGGGAGGTTCCCAGGGATGAGGATCCACATGGATGAGAGTCTCCATGGACAAAGGTCCGCAGGGATGCAGGTGAGGGTGACACCCACCGGTGTCCAGGGACACGCCCCATTCCCAGGAATGCCCCACCCTTCCCAGAGACACACGGCACAGGGGGGCTTCTCCACACCTTTATTGTCCTCGGGAGCGGCAGGAGGGGCCGGGAACGGTGGGAAAAGGAACATCCCTGCCAGCCCCCAAGCTGGGAACCGCCGGGATCCCCCATCCCGGCTCAGGGCAGCCGGGACAGCCCCACCTTGTTGTTGGCCCTGTCGAAGACGACGTAGTATTCCCGGATAAACACGTCCCCAAGGATCCAGAGCTCTCCCTCCTCCGTGGGGGCATCCATGCCTTGGAATCCCAGGCTGCAGACCCCGCCGCTCTGCTCCGAGCACACGGAACAGGGGGGGGTCACCGGCTGTGGGATCCCCGCCCCGCGTCATTCCAGCCCCGTTCCCAGCGGGATGCTCACCCGGATCACGTAGGCTCTGGCCGGCACCGGGAATGCTTGGCCGTGGATATGGAATACGAGGTCGGGCAGTTTTCTGGCAGCCTGGCAGCTGATCTGGGCGGGGACAGAGTGGGTCAGTGGCTATTCCGGCCGGGAAAAAACATCCTGGGAAGCGTCCCGAGGGCTCACCTCGCCGTTGGAGCTGGCGCCGAGGGCGCTCATGACGATCCGGAAGGCTCGGACGGGCATGGCCAGCAGGGATGTTCCCGTATCCACGATGGCCTGGCATCCCGAGGAACAGGCCGCCGCCGCCCCCTTGATGGAGACGCTGGAAAAAGGGACGCAGGGTGAGCTTCCCGAGGTCGGGATTCCCCAAAAACACCGGCTGGGGGAGCTTCCCGGGAATACCTGTCCATGGTGATCTGCCAGTAGGTCTCGGCGGAGAGCGGGATCCAGGAGATTCCTTTGGCGGTGTAAAAGGGATCGATGGCGCCGAACAGGACAAAGCTTCCGGCTTTGTCGTCCCTGAAAAGCGGGATCCGTCCAGGGATTGCCCACCCTGCCATTCCCACTGGGAAAGTGGTACCGGCGGGAGGGAGACGGGAGAACTCCTCGGCGGCTCCGGGCGGGATTTACCTGCTCAGGTAGACGGAGAAGAGGTCCTGATCCACGAGCCTTTCCATCATCATGTTGTCGAAGACCGGGGTGGCTCCGGAGGAGGCGATGCTCGGGAATGCCAATCCCAGGATTCCATCGAAGGGGGTGTAGTAGAAGAAATCCCCTGGCTCCGTCTCGGCCAGCCCGAAAATCTGGTTCCGGACGTTGATCCCGGCGACCTGGGAAAGGGAGAGAGGTGTGGCTGGGGCCTCCCGGGATCCCGGATCCCACGGGATGGGAAGGACGGAGCGGCCCTACGTTGACGGTGTCGTATCCCAGGACTCCGGACATGCTTCCCGTGCCGTAGGCGATGAACAGGGTGTCGTTGGTGCTCAGGAAGGTGGAGGAATCCGCGGGATTGAAGCGGTTGTGGTTCCCTGAAAGGGTCGGGAGGGAGGGAATCACGGGAATGAGGCCACTGGGAATGAGGGTGGCACCTCAGTGTCCCTGGGAGAGGCTGATTCCCAGGGCAGAGCCACCCCTGGCTCCCAAGGCCTGGGGGATTCCCCAGCGTCCAAGAAGTCACGGGGCTGCCGGACACGCTCCGGACACCCGGAGACATTCCGGACACCTGGACACGCTCCGGACACATTCCAGACACATTCCAGACACCTACTGCAGGCTGGGCTGGAGCAGAAGACGGAGGGAACCCAAAGGTTGGAGGAACCGGTGTCGAAGACGACGGTGAATTCCTGGGCTGGAGTCCCGATGGAGATGGTGCCGAAGTACTCGTCCTGTCGGAGCGGGGTGGGAAAGGAGGAGTGGGATTGGGAAGGGGAGAGTGGGGTGGGGATAGTGGGATGGGATAGTGGGATGGGGAAGGGGATAGTGAGAAGGGGATAGTGGGATGGGGAAGGGGATAGTGGGAAGAGGGTAATGGGGTGGGAATGGGGATAATGGGATAGGGAAGGGGAGAGCGGAATGGGGACAGTGGGATGGGGAAGTGGTTAGTGGGGAGGGGATAGTGGGATACGGAAAGGGATGGCGGGACTGAGCAGGGGATAGTGGGAATGGGACAGTGGGACTGGGAAGGGGACAGTGGGATTGAAAAGAGGATAGTGGGAATGGGATAGTGGGACTGGGAAGGGGATAATGGAGAGGGATAGTGGGGTGGGGAAGGGAATAGTGGGAAGGAGGTAATGGGATGTGGAAGGGGTGAGTGGGATAGGAAGAAGGATAGTGGGATTGGAAAGGGGATAGTGGGATAGGAAAAAGGATGGTGGGATTGGAAAGGGGATAGTGGCCCCCGTGCCCCCTCCCGATCCCGATCCCATTCCCTCACATCCATGTAGTTCTGCAGGGGCTCCACAGCGATCCCAGGGAAGTACTTGGCAGCCAGGTTATAGGGATGCTGCTCCAGGAAACTCTCCAGCAATCCCTGCTCCCGCAGCCTCTCCCGCAGCGACTTCATCTTCCTCAGGGGCACCCTGCGGACACCAGGATCCGTCACCGGGATCATCCCACATCCCACATCCTTTGGGACGGGGGCCCTTCCCGGCGCTCACCTGGTCCCCAGGCCCTGGGCCAGGACCACCAGGGAGAGGAGCAGGAGCAGCTTCATGGCGGGAGCTCCGGGAATGTGAGTGAGCCTCCGCTCCCGCTCCTTATATCCCGGCTCCCGTGTTTGGCCGGTGGCTCCGATAAGGAAAGCAAACGGTTCCCGGGATTCTTATCACAATGTCCTTAAGGAAGGTGGCCGGGGAAGGGGGGGAATGTCAAGCCCTTACTCCCAGGGGCGAGGTCGGGATGCTGGGATGGGAGGGGAGTGCTCCCGGTGTCCCGAGGGAAGGCGCTGGGAGCCGGTGGGAATGTGGGGTTGGGTTTGTCCCCTGGATCGCCCCCAGGTCCCGGCTGGAGGGTTTGATCCCTGGATTGCAGCTCACCAGGGATGAGGCAGCCAAGGCTTTCCTGGGAGATCCATTCCAGGGCCTCGTTACCCTCCCAGGGAAGGATTAATTCCCAATATCCCACCTAAACCCACCCTCTGGCACTGGGAAGCCGTTCCCTGTGTGTCCTGTCATTCCAGGCCCTTTTCCAAGGTCCCTCTCCAGCTCTCCTGGAGTTGCTCTGGGGACTCCAAGGTCTCTCCAGAGCCTTTTCCTCCGGCCAACCCAGGTGGGATTTTCAGGCTCCAGATTTTCCATTCTGGGAATCAGCCAACCCCTTCTCCTTCCCAAACCCCTCCAACACATCCCATCCTCCTTTTTTCCTCTGGGATAACCTGCTGCTTCATCCCTTTTCTCCCAACATCCCCCGGAATCTTTATCCATATCACTCCCCCCCCATGGAATTCAGCCCCGATCCTCGGATTCTTTTGTTCTTCCGAGCCGGGAATGGGGCTGATTCCAAGGGAAGAATTCCAGCTCTGGCCTTAGGGAGCCTTTGATCTCCTCCAGGACAAGGTGACCGTTCCAGGATCCACGTGGTGCCGTGAGGGAAGCCAAGATTCCCGGCCCAGCTCCAGTGACCTTCAGCATTCCAGTGGCATCCGGAGCCGGACCTTCCCCTGGCTGCTCCCACTCTGACCCCACAGCTGGTCCCAGTTCTGCAGCAGCGCTGGGAAAGGGTGAGAGGGATGAAATCCCAGTGGAAGCAAGACATGGAAGTGTTGGAGCAAAGCCAGAGGAGGGCACGGAGGTGATCTGAGGGATGGGAAAGGCTGGGAGAGCTGGAATTGTCCAGCCTGGAGAAGAGAAGCTCCAGGGAAATCTTGGAGCCTCTTCCAGTGCCTCAAGGGGCTCCAGGAGAGTGGGAGAGGGATTTTGGGAGTGGGAATGGAGCGACAGGACGAGGGGAAATGGCTCCAAACTGGAAAAGGGGGGATTTAAACAGGATATTGGGAATAAATCCTTCCCTGTGAGGGTGGTGAAGCACTGGAATGGATTTCCCAGGAAAGCTGTGGCTGCCCCATCCCTGGAACTGCTGAATGCCAGGCTGGAAAAGGGCTTGGAGCAACCTGGACTAGTGGAAGGTGTCCCTGAAAATTTGGAGCTTCCAAGTTGTTCCTGTTTTTGGGCCAAAATAGGAGGGAAAACAAAAATATTCCCTTATCCCAGAGCTGGTTATCCATTTAATTCCCAGAGCTGCCATCCCAGGGGATCAGGACTCCAGATTTTCCAGTGGAAAGTTTTTGCCAGGGATGGGAAGTTTCAGGACAAGTTGGTTGTAAATCCCATCCCCAGGAGGCAAAAATTCCGCAGGATTTTTGGATGAATCCTTATCCCCAGTGGGAAGAAACTGTGGGATTCAGGGGCAGGGAAAAAATGGGAATTAATGTTCACCACTAATTAAATCAGGAATAAAAAGGTGGGAGGATGGAAAAATAACCCCTTTGAGGGTGTGAAATGACTTTTCCTCTGGGAGAAGCTGGGATTTTTTCCAACCTCGGTGGTGAAATTCAGGGATCCTGGAATAATCCATCCTGGAGCTGGGATTTTAGATTGGGATTAGGTGACCAAGGCCTCCCTGTCCCAGCTTTCCTTGGCACCAGAGGGCACCAAAGGATGGGAAGATCCCAAAAAAACCCGGATATGGATCCATTCCTGACTCAAGCAGGGATTCCTGGTCAAAACCTCCCTCCAAAAAATTTAGGCTTGTTCCCAGAAAATCCTGGTTTTAACGTGGAAATGCCACTTGGGATGGATTTAACTCCCACGGGAATCACCCTCTGAATCAGTATTTTGGGATTTTCCGGCTTTTGGGACATCAAAAGCCCAGGAACTTCCTTAATTTTACCCCAAAAAATCCCCTAACGGGGTCAGGGTTTATCTTGGAATAGATTCAGGAAGGAAACTTGTTTTCCAGGCCCTGTTCCCAGTTCTTCTTGTCCCTTTATCACCCCGGAGCTTTATCGGAGCTGTCAGATAAAAGGAGGGAATTCTGAGGCTCCCGAGGAGGCAAATCTCCAGGATTTGCTTAAAAATATTGAATTAAGTTATCAAGGATCTTGGCATTCCCTGTGGGAATGGAATTCTGCCAGACAGGGACCTCAGATAACCTTTTCCTACATGATTTTGGGTGGGATTAACACAAAATCCAAGAGAAAAAAACCCAGGCGTAACCATCTTTTATGGAAATTAGGGAGATTAATAAGAAAATAATGGGAATATCCTTTAAAAATGAAAAATTATCCCAATTTTTATTGCCGGATAACATATTTAAATGGATATTTTCCCATTTATTCCTTGCAAATCTGAATACAATTTAATTTATCCTTAATCCTTAAATTTTAATGTAAAAGAATCCCAGGTGGAACTATTTTAATGGGAATTACTGATATTAATAAACAGGTAATGGGAATATCCTTCCAAAAACATGGAAATTAAGGATATTAATAAAGTTTTAATAGGAATATCCTCCCCAAAACAGCCCTTTATCCCATTTTTTTTTTTTGTTGCTGGATAACAATTAAATGGATATTTTCCCATTTAGTTGGCAAAAATCTTAATTTTTCCTCTCCCCAATCCATAATTTTTACATCAGATGTTAACTAAACATTTTCCAGCTTTTCCATGTGTTTGGAAAACTGTTCCAAACAAGCCTGGAAAGCATTTCTTTCCCTTTGGAAAGTCAAGTCCCTTTGTTTTCCCATAACATTGGGGGTTTGACCTGTTTATCAGCCGTGCTGGGAACAAGTTGTCCTTGATTCAACTGGAATTTTTTGGGATCATGTGACTCCCGCCTATTCCACAACAAAGGCTCAGGTGACTTGTGGGATCAGAGGTGCCTTTCCTGGATCCCGGGGGCACTTTGGGAACAACCTTCTGCTGTCTTCTGAAGCAGCTGCTCTCCTCATTCCTTATCCCTGTCTGGGATTTGGGAACGTGGAGTTAATTTGGGAAAAGTGGGGCTTGGATTCGTGTTTTGGGTGATGGGCTTGGAGCTTCCATGTACATTCCAGGAAACATGTCCCTGTTTCATGTCAGGAGGGGCTAATCCAGGTGTTCCAAAGGGATTTGCTTTGATCTCTTGGTTCCATCTGGGAAAACCCATTATAGGAATTTTGTGGGAAGTTATCTGGGTTTTTGGGATGTTGCTGAGCTCTGTGTGTTTTTCCTGAACCACTTCCAATCGGGCCTTGGGCACTTCCAGGGCTGGGGCAGGCACAGCTTCCCTGGGAAGCGCCATCGCAGGGTTTTACCACCCTCACAGGGCAGGATTTATTCCCAAAATCCCACTAAAACCCCCCGCCGTGTCCATACAACCCCATTCCCTATTATGCTATGGCCCTTCTCCAAACCCCTTTCTCCACCTCTCTCAGCGCTCCTCCACCCCAAAACCACGAAGGATATAAATCCTAGAGCGGCTATCACCCAGTAGGAGCCCTCTGGCATCCAAACATTGATTAATTACGAAAAAAATCCATTAAATTGCTCCCAAAGCCCGCCCCCCCCAACATGGCGGCGCCGGGAGGAACCACCCGCAGCCTCCCGGGGGGGGGGAGAGGGCGCGTCCCCCCTCTCTGTCGGCAATGGCCCCGCCCACTTCCGGTACGCGCCGGAACCCGGAAGTGGCGACGGGCGGAGGGTCTACGGTGGGTCCGGGGCTGGGCCGGGAATGGAAATATCGGGAATACCGGGAATAACGGTGGCATAACGGCGCTAACGCGACGGCTCCCGCTCGCTGCTGCCGTGCAATCACCCAGCGCTTCGCCTCCGCCCCGCTGAGCGCCGTTGGGCGCTTCCCAGAGCCTGTTCTTGGGTTTTCCCGCTCCCGGCATTCCCGTTTTTCCCGTTTAAACTCCATAACATTTCGTTAAGAGACAAAAAAACTCCTGAATCGGGTGATTCCCGTGCGGGGGGAAAGCCCCGCGCCTGCAGCGCGGGACGGAATTCCCTGTTTTCCCCTCGGACAGGTTTATCGGGATCATGGATTGAGACATTCCTGAGGCTCTTGCGACATTGCCGGCGTGAAATCCTTGGGATGCTCCACTTGGATAAGAGGTAGAAGAGCCGGGAGCCATCAGGACGGCGCAGGTTTGTGGGGTGTCCCTGGTTTTTTTATGGCATTCCTGCATTATCCCCTCCCAGCTCTTGGAATTTGCACCACAAACGCGGGATAATTCCTACACGTTATCGGAAAACCTGGAATATTTGGGATAAATCGCAGATATAACACTGGAACTCCTGGATTTTGCGTTATTCCACTGCTTTCCACGTCAGAGGGTGGAACTGGACAATCCATAAGATCTTTTCCAACTCTTTGGAAACAGTGGGATAGGAACAGGTCCAGGTTTCCTTGGAGGAATGGGAATCTGGGGTGGGATGGAGCTTGGAATGAGTCAGAATCTGGAAAATGGGGGAGAGATTCAGCTGGAATTTGCTGGTCGGGGCTGGGAGTGGGTTTTTCCTCGACAAAACCCTCTGGGATGCACAAAATTCTTTCCAAACAGGCTGGGAAAAGCTGGGAGAAGGTGGAAAAAAGTCATTCCTGAAGGAGGAATTAGTGGGAATGTTGCTTTGCCCTTGCTGATTTCTTATAGAGGCCGCTCCGGGCGGTTTAACAAAGCTGGAGTTCAGTCCCTGCAAGGACAAACAGCTGGATTGGGGGATTTATCCACCTCCTTTTCCATGTCCCAGGAATCCGGGAGGATGGAGACGCTCAGGAACCGGACGGTGGAGGAGCTCCGGGAGCTGCAGGAGGATTCCCAGGAAATCGAGCGCTTGGCCCTGGAATCGCAGGAGGTTGGTGGGGGGGTCACCCCGGGGCTCCCTCGTCCCTTTCCCGGCGTCACTTCCCGAATTCCGCAGGTGCAGGAGCTGCAGCTGGAGCGGGAGATGGCCTTGGCTTCCAACCGGAGCTTGGCCGAGCAGAACCTGAAATTCCAGGCGCCGCTGGAATCGGGACGAAGCGACCTCTCCAAGAAATACCTGGAGCTGCAGGAACTGGCCGGGAGGTGCCGGGAGCAGAAGGAAAAGCTGGGTGAGCCCTGGGGTCATCCTGGCTCGGGAGTGAAGGATTCTGCTTCCCAGAAAGCCGAGATCCCACTTTTTTCCCAGGAGAGATCCTTTTGGGTTTTCCTCCTTCCCTGAGCGATTCCCGAGGCTGATCCTGTGGGATCTCTGCTGGTTTTTCCCCATGGTCGTGATTTTTTCCATGGTTTTTTTTTTTATCCTTCCGTGGTTTTCCCAGAGAAATCCTCGGCAGCGCTGCAGCCGCAGACTCTGCTGGAGCTGCTCCAGGTGGAAAGTCAGAAGATTGAGGAGGAATCCGAGGTGAGCTCGAGGCTTCAATCCATCGGGAATCCCGGGGCTTCATCCTCAAAGACTCCCAGCTAACCCCAATCCCAAAAATCCTGGGTCGTGCCCAGAATTTGCTGGTCTTTCCCCTCCCAACAATCGGGTCGATCCTTGTTTGTGTGGAGTCTGGGAAAGACCTAAATCCCGAAACGGGATGAGGGAAGAGGAGCCGAGGGATCCCGGGATGAAACTGAGGCTGTTCCTCTCTTCCAGAAAATGGCGGAGAAATTCCTGGAGGGCGAAGTGCCCTTGGAGACGTTCCTGGAGCAGTTTGCCACCATGAGGAAATTGTCCCACCTGCGCCGGGTCCGCGTGGAAAAGCTGCAGGAGATCGTGAGGAAGTCGGAGGGATCCCGGGAATCTGGCCGGGACTCGCAGGCTCCTCCTCCTCCTCCTCCTCCTCCTCCTCCTTCTGTCCCTCCTGCTCCTCACATTCCCGGCTCCGGGGATCCTCCTCAGCCCTTCCCAGCGGGATCCCCTCCCTTCCCCCTTCCCTACAGCCCGGCTCCCGCGCTCCCTCCCGGCCCCCCGGCCCACGGAGCGCTGCCTCCCGCGCCTTTCCCGGCAGCTCCGGCTGCTTCCCAGCCCGGCTCCCAGCCCTTTCCTTACCCAGCTCCCGGATATCCGTCGGCTCAGGCTCCCAGAGCCGCCTCCGGAGGCTATTCCTGGTCTCCATCCCGGGCCCCTCCGCAGCCGGCGCCGTATCCCGGTCCCAGTCCGTCTCCTCCTCCTCCCAGGCCGGGATACTCTCCCTACATCCCCCCTGGAGCAGGAAGGCCGCCCTATCCCACCCAGCCCCCTCTCCCGAATTTCCCGATCCCGGCACAGCCTCCCTATCCCGGGGCTCCCCCACCCTTTGGATACCCCCCCCCTCCCAATCCTTCCCGTCCGGCTTGGCCTGGATACTAATCCAGGACTTTCCGGGAGCATCCTCTGCTGCTTCCTTCTTTTTCTGGGGATTGAGGAACAGGTGGAATCCCAGGAATTCCGCGGGATGAGAGTCACAGCTCCAGGAGTCAGAGCCAGGTGATTCCCAGCTGGATATAGCAGGAAGGAGCAGCCCCTCAGGGCTGAAATTCCAGAGAGGAGATGGCTCCAGGGAGACCTTGGAGCACCTTCCAGAGCCTAAGTGGGCTCCAAAAGAACTGGAAAAGGACTCGGATATAATGGGCTGGAATGATGGGATAAAGGGGAATGGCTTCCCGCTGCCAGAGGATGTGTTTAATGGGATATTGGGAAGAAGTTCCTCCCTGCGAGGTTGGTGAAGCACTGGAATGGGTTTCCCAGGGAAGCTGTGGCTGCTCCATCCCTGGAAGTGTCCAAGGACAAGTTGGACGGGGCTTGGATCCGCTTGGATTAGTGGAACGTGGTTGGAATGAGATGATCCCTTCCCACCCAGCCACTGCAGGATTGTCTGGGAGTCGGTGATTCCCACCCAGCCTCTGGTATTCCCGACCTCCCACGTGGTTTTCCGGGCTCCTCACATCCCCCTTTCTCAGGAAACACTTGGAGACAGAGGGAACGACAAACACCGGGAATGGGATTTGCTTTGCTCAGCACTTTATCCTACGAGTCCCGCCCGTATCCCTGGAAGTTATTTATAAGGAATGGTTACTAATGGACTAGGATGGGGCTTTGTGGGATTTCATGGAAGCAATTCCATCCCTGGGGTTAATTACAGTAATAAAACTGCATTAATTAATTCCATACTGGAGTCACAGCCAGCATTTCGTTCGGGAATGACGGAGCATCCGCCTGTGGGTTGACCCCTTTATCCCTTCCTGGCATCCCGACACCAGCTCCCTTTGGATTCCAACCTTTCCTCCTCTCCCAGCACCATCTCCCAACCCATTTTTCCTGCTTTTCCCGGGCTTATCTTTCCTCCGGGACACGTTTGCTTGGGGCTCTTCGGGGTAGAAAACCAGGGAAAAATGCCTTTCCCTGTTTTCCTGTCCTGCTTTTCCCTCCTGACCGGGAGTCTGGTGCTCTAAGGAATTGCTCCGGGATACGGGAAGGAAGAGGACAAGGTGTAATAAGTACAAAAATCCCAATTTTATTACAGTTGTTGGATATTAAATATCTTGGATTCCTTCCCAGTATTCCCCCCCTCCCTGGACTTGCATCCCTTTCCTTTATCCATCGGTTTGGAGCCATGGAAAGGCCGATGATCCCTCCAAAAGGCCTCAGATCTGTATAAATACCTTAAGAACCCCCAGAACTCCTCTTTTTCTCCCTGGAACGCTGGGATCCCCCTACGGCCCGAGCCGGGAACGGCTCCTTTGGGAATCCTTTGGGAATCACACCCTGCGGGCGGAGCGCAGGTCGTAGTCGCTGTCCGAGGAGTTCTCTGGAGGGTTGGAATGTCGGAGCGCTCCTTCCAGGGCTGTGGAGGGGATGGATGTGGCTCAGGGGGTGCCCGGAGGGTTCATCCCTGGAAGAGGAGCCGCTTCCAGTACTTCCAGCGTTTACCTGGATAAGCGGAGAGCTGGGAGCTCTTGGGCGGGGCCGCGGTGTAGTCGTTGTCCCCTCCCTGTCCCCGAGGCCTCGGGGTGGCGGAGCTGGAGCGGTGGAAGGAGACTGGAACACAAGGTGGGATTGGGATCGGGATCGGGATTGGGATTTGAGGGCTGGAAGGGCGGTTTGGAGGGAACGGACCCACCCCCGGGATGGGGCTGAGGGAAATCAGGTGAGTTGTATCCAACGCCAGGAATTCCCAAATCCACCCCCAGGAGTCCCAGTCCCACTCCCAGGAATCCCAATCCACCCCCATGGACCCCAATCCCAGGAGCCCCAAATCCACCCCCTGGAGCCCCAGATCAACCCCCAGGATTCCCAAATCCACCTGAAGGAACACCCAGTCCCACCCACAGGAGCCACAAATTCACTTCCAGGAATCCCAGTCCTATCCCCA